ATTCATTAAAGCAATGACACCACATGGAAGACTGGCAGCAACATTCCACATGACATGTAACAGCATACACAACTTCAGTCACCAGCTCTGTGCTGTTGACACACACTGTGTCTGCAGACTGTAGATACCACGTTCTGTAGGAGTGTGTTATAGCACTGGGTCACAGAAAGACCCAACATAATTCTTCATTTTATTATGCAAAGACAATAATAACCAGACACTGAGAAGTGAGACTGAGCACTTTGGCCCAATGGGATAGAAAATGTGACGTCAGGACAATTCAAGGACTCATGATCTAATGAGTACAGTTCTACTTGTGGAGGCAACTGGACTGAATATCCTGATCCTGACTAAAGTCTAATAAGTAAGACTCAATGTCAGATTTCCAAAGAAACAGTGTTTTATTCCTGTTATAATTTCATAAAAACATAAACAACTGAATAGAATCTGAAAGTCATAAGGATTGATTTATCATTTCATATTTAAGCACCTTTGTTTCCTGAAAAACCTGAGTAAGGCTCTAGAAGCCAATTTAAAAAAGAGCGAGAGAGAGACATTAATTATTTTACATAAGATGCATTTCACCAAGAACGGGGAGGTCTGTGAGTTTTCCAAAAGAGTCATCAGATTCTGGATGGGGAATTTTACTTACAGGCTAAATGAATGACCAGGAAGTAGACTACAAGAAGGGCTCATAGCCTATTCTAATCTGTTTTAAATGGCTGGCAAAATTATTCTGCTGTGTGATAACCAATGTATGTCAACTTGTTTAATCTGCAGTTCCCCTCGGCTCCAACCTTTAATGCGAACTGCTTTTCCCATGCCCCTTTTCAGGTACTGCCGAACTTAATGACCAGGGAAAGACCAGTAGACAATGTGAAGGTTTGTGGTGAGCCACGTTTTTCCCATCTGTGCGCACAGACCACGTGGTCTATGAACAGCACACACCCTCCTTCCTGTTTGGGGGAGGCACATCGGAACCCAGGTACCACGTGCATGTGCTGACAGGGACTCAAAGACACAGAGCTCTTGGCTCAGACAGAACTAAACACATCTGTGCAGCGGAGCCCATGCCTCATGCCGCTCTCCAGCCTGCTCGGGGTCTTCCTGGCCCTCATCTTCTCGGGTAAGGATGGTTCCAAACATGGGTGGGAATGTTCAGGGTGAAAGGATTGCACGTGGTATCTCACAGGGACTTGGGGAGGAAAGGAAGATTGGAGAAAGCTTGCATATCATGATTCTATTTGGCTTTTCTTTGGGACCTAAATTAGTCTCATTCCTACATTATTCTACTCACTACCTCAGCTCTGTTTTCTGATTTTTCCCACAGGATCAGGAGTGGCCCAGACAGTTACTCAAGACCAGCCAGCAGTATCCTCTCACGTAGGGGAGTCAGCCACCCTGAACTGTCGGTATGAAACAAGTTATAGCACATACTATATTGTTTGGTACAAGCAGCCTCCCAGTGGAGAGATGACTTTCCTTATTGAACAGGATTCATCTAGTGAGAATGCCAAGAGTGGCCGCTACTCTGTAAACTTCTGGAAAGCTGAAAAATCCCTCAGCCTCACCATCTCAAACTTACAGCTGGAGGATTCTGCAAAATACTTCTGTGCTTTCGATGGAAGCACAGTGCTTGAAGTAATAGGACGAGCTGAACAAAAACCCCAGAGCTCAAAAAGAGAGAGCTCTCTGCTGCAGGAGCCAAGCCGAGATGCACACCTGCAGCCCCCCAGACAAGACACGGCAGCCGTGTGGGTGTGTGGTCTGCGGTCCGGATCAGAAGACTGAATTCTAAATAAAAGCTCCTTTTATGTCATTTTGAAACAGGTGTCCACTGGAACATTGTACTAATACATTCTCAGTCTTTAATTTTTGACATTAAAACAATCATGCAGAATAAAGTTGACTAAAATTGAAAACTTTCCTCATAGAAATTTAAATTGATGGTTTCACTTAAAGAGACATCAAAAAGCTGGGTCCCGTTCCCTGGGAACATCAGGAAAATCACTTGCTTACTCCTTTCCTCTTAGGCCATGAGTCAGTGAGGGCACAATTAGAGAAGCCGAACAACATAGAATGAAGGTTTCGCTATAAGAATTAAGAACTCAGGCAATTGCTAGAGCTGGTGGAGGAGTCTACATAAAGCTGTTATCTTTGCATCTGGTGTTGAGCCTGAATTCACTGTAAGTTAACTGGGGTGACATTTCTG